GAACGACAGAAATTCTGGATGTATCAGAGATCCTCTTATAATTGAAAACATGATCTTCCAACTTATTACGACGTTTCGGATTCCGTAACAGAAACCTTCAACAGGGGTGCTTACAAGCAGCAGCCTACGAGAACAAAATATGGAGAAATTTAATACTGAAAGTGCTAAGTAAGAAAAATTTCCAAATATAACAACAAAATCGAAAAGAGACCAAAACTGCAGAAAATAATAGAAAGTTTGTGGCCATTGGAATGTTGATAATCTTTCCATTTATATAATGGGGCCAAATCTACCACCCATGTTTTCATTACGTTAATGTCGGGATGCTGGTATCCATTTCCATGTCATCAGCCATTAGTTCCCCGATATTTTTGAAGGATGATTCGAAAGCAGTTATGAGGCAACCATAGTCTGCTACTCTTTCCTTCCCACTCAATTATAAGAATGGTACTGATTATTCAGCCCCGGAAACAAAGAAAAGGAGTGACCCCGATCGACCTATCGATTCTGCGTCAAACGTGCCATCAATCGGGTAACTCACTTCTGAAACAACGTTCGGTAAATTCTTTGCTCAAGAGAATTCGAAAAAAGACAAAGACTGCCCGACGGGGGAATCAATCTCACCACTCCGGAGTTCAAATCTGAAGCATACTTATTACTTACAGCACCAGACATTGTAGAAGCGATAGAGCAAAAGTTGAGGGGGTAAGGTTTTAAAAACTAGAGATGAACTGGAATAAAGCAGATTCAAATTAAGAACTCTCTGATAAACTAAATGCTAATGAACTAGTGTAGTTGCATCCTTCTTTTGAAAAGCAGGATATAGGCAGACAATCGTTAACATAGAGCCCAATCCTGTTCTTTCCATAGTGAAGAATCCTGTTATATTCCAAGAATGCGTTAGAATCTTCTAATATTCTGGATGAATTAACTGAAAGGCATCCTTGTAATTCTGTACCGTTGCTTTCAGGATCCGTATGACTACCGATAAAAATCCTATCACAGTTTCCACAGTTCATCTGATAAGCAGCATTAAACTTAGCAGAGCCAATTAAATAATTTAGCTTAGTATACAAAATACCTCAAGTGGCTTTGGGTTTTATGCATCTTGTTGCTGACTATATCGCTGAAGCGCAAGAAGGAAACAGAGTTTGTATGGAATTGAGATTTTAGATGTTTGTTCTTCTGAGGGGAAGGAGGCGACACATTTCCGATAAGTTAGGCTTGAGTTAACATAACAAAAAGGATGAAAGAGATCACATGAATTTTATATGCCGGTGGAAAGTTCTTCATTACCGAAGACTTCACTCTTTAACAAACTCCCGATGGAGCTGGATCCATCGTCAGGGGAATTTATGTAAGGAGGCTTAAGAGTCATCTCGCAGTAAGCAACGACATTGCTGACACTGTCGTGAGCATCTGTTGTTACATGAGTACCTCTGAAGATGGATTCAGCTCGATCCAAAACGTCGAAAATTTGTGATGGGGCAAACCTTTAAAAGATTTTAGCGAGGAAAAAATGGGTATCCAATATGTAAGCTATTATTAGCTCTTTAAGAAGCTGACGTCACTTGGATTGAAAATTTAGTTCACAGATATTCTGCTAATGTTAATGGCCAACAGTAATGATCAATTCACAAGACAACAACTGTGAATAGGAAATTATATTTAGCGATATGAATATGCCACAAACACCATAGGGACAATGTATTTCGACTCAACACAGAGCACGCTCTGTCAATACCTTGAAAGTCGGTAGTTGCTTGTGTCTGACAAGCTTAGTTAGGAATTCATTGAGGAATAAATTTAAGAGATTAATAATAAGTTATGAAAGAACAGAACTACCAGAATACATCGTAAAGTCGACATCAAAGCAAACTTTACACGAGGCTGCACTGATCATCTCAATGACACATGAACGCTTTCTGGTTTGCGTCCATTAATTTACACAACAATTATTTTCCGTCATTCACATGGCGTGAGGGATAGCATCTTTCAGAAGTTTTTTTACAACAGTCGCGGTCATCAGTCAGTTAAGTAATCTGCATTTGTTGGACTCAAGGACACAATCTCAAAACTTAGGTGCATAACGTATTCAAATTACCTGGCATGTGGTCTGCTCATTAGAAATCTTTCATATGATTTGACCAGGAAAGTAGGCTTGTGAGTTTTTACACTTATATCCTGATCACACGTAAAAACCATCGGATTATGATTTCTAGACCTGGAAAAGAAGCGGCTGACAAAATAGCGTATATCGAAATGCCTGCTCTAAACTTCCCGAATCTTGCCGCACCAGAAATCGTTTAGGAGAACTCCATATAGGGAGTTTTTACCTTAAATTTCGCTTTTTCGCTCAATATCCATGCCCTCGTGGAGTAGATACGTAAGCGGATTTGAAACCAGACAGCATCGCATTACGTTTCCCCTCACTTTTCCTTACCATAATATTGGTTTCTTTCAGGAAACTTTATAATCATTATAAAATTAACGAAAACATTATAAATTAATTTAATAATAATTTAAT